TGAATAACTTGGAACCTCCTATACTGATCGATAGATGAAAAAGTGAGTTAACGCACCATAGGTCAATAAAGCTTTGTCAAAAGTCACTTAAAAAATTCCAGAATGTGGGAAAGAAAAGCCCAGTTTCTTCAACAAATGTTTTGTAATCAAAACATTCAAATTAAAAAGGAAGGAAAGGAAACTTATCAATTAAAAGCTAAGAAACACATAAACACTTAAACACAAGCTTAAGAAACACATAAACTAAATGCAAGGTGTGCACATTTCTTGGATGCCAATTCAAACAAATAAATTGTTTTTAAAAATTGAGATGAATGGGGAAATTTGGAACATTAACTAGATTCTTGATTGCATTAATGACTGCTCCCTTTTTTAGGTGACAATCATGGTATTGTTGTCATATGTAAATAAAAGGGAATCTTTTTTATTTTTTTTTTAAGTCATTTGAACCAGAGAGTCTACAAAAGGGGAAAGGGAGGTTGAATACAGAAACCAACTCAGTTTTATAGATCTTGAGTGTTGGGTACATGGATATTTGTCTTATTATTTTTTATCCATTTTTGAATGAAACCCAGAAAAATGGAAAAAAGAAATACTCATAATTATAATTCATAATATACTTATTGCTATCATTATTGTTGTAGGAAAGAAAAAGAGATCCATCTAATTAGAGTAAAAAGTGGAGACAGGGAAGTAATTTGAATATATGGTAGATTTGGATCAGAGTTAAGGGCCAGGCAGCAGAGTTTAAGATTTGTTGGGGGGGAACTGTTGGGTAACAAGTGTCCAGCCATAGAGTAAGAAATTAAAGCAGTCCAATAATCGTCTATACGGGATAGCATTATGGTGTATTTATGGCAGCCTTATTTTTTTTAGTGCCCTATACAGTGCAACTGATGACTTGAGGCCTTGCTTTGTAGTAAAGGGACCGGGTACACACGGCATGACTGTTCATCATGACAATCCTGAACCAGATCCAGAAATGACAGAAAAGCCAAAAGGTTTCTGCACTGCTGGGAACGGGAGGAAAGAATAAACTAGAAAGGGGGAGGACATGGGCATGAGGCTAGGGAGTTCGGCACAACTCGGCACATCCATTGCGACTTTTTCTGCTGATGGGGCACATCATTTATCCGAAGAGAATCACCTCATCAGAACAATGCAGTGTGTGCTGGGCCTAGAACCCAGGGCCAAAACGTCAGCACTGATTCTTCTCCTGGGCCCTACTCCCACCACGTGCTTGTCAGCAACATACACTCGCACACATACCACTTTCAGAAACCATAGGCTGAGCAGCTAAAACAGATGTAGAGAAATGAGGCCTGTGGCTGGGTTGACAGTTATGCTTACAGGGTCAATGTGGAAATGAGGATTCTGCTAGCTTATTGAACCCATGTATTTCAAGGAGGCTACGAGAACGTTCTTTCCTACCCCTCCCTTAGATTTCCCTTCTCTGGATCATAGTGCAGCCTCTTTCACGGTTGATTTGTTTTATGGATCTATCTGTGGAGGGCACACTATGTGCCAGCACAGCTCACGGTGCTTAAGAGCCATCAGGGAATAAAAGGAAGATTCCTGCCCCTGAAGAGCTTTTCCCTTGAGGGGAGGGGCAGGCAGACAAGTGCATTTTGGAAAGTGACAGGTGTTCCTGCAAAATGAACGAAACATAACAAGGTGAAGGCTGGAGAGTGCAGAGGGGAGGGCAGTTTGATACTGAAGCTACCAGCTGATGGAAATACTAATTTGGAGTTCTGCCGCTGTCCTCTATCACCACTCTCCCTCAGCACTCATCACACTAGCAAACGTGGTCAGGGAAACAAGACAATTGTTGGGTTTATTTCAGAGTCAAAAAAATAAATAAATTCAACTATTTCCTCTACACTCTTTTCCTGAAAAATGAAAGCAAATGTGGTCTAAAGAAGGAAGGCACTAACTGAACTGAAGCAAAGTGATACCAAACAGATTTCTCCTCCCCATCTCCTCCCCTACCATAGTCTGTGGTTTGTTGGCATTTGTGTCATGACGGGTCCATACTGTCACAATGAGCCTGGATCCTTTATGCACAATGGCATAGCCTGTTGGGAGTAATTAGCAAGCTATTACCCAACTCCTATAAACTAATGGTATCTTTCTTATTGTTTTGTGTGTGTTTTTTCCAGAGGATCACTCAAAGCAAGTCAAACAAGAGTTGATGGCCTAACCCTGAAAAAGGAGGGGTGATACAAATTATGTAGCCCAATTTTAAATGCATTCTCCTCTTCCACAAACATGTCCTCCCACCACAAAAAAAGGGGGGGAGGGGATCAGAGAGAGAGAAAAAAACAATGTTTAAATGGGGATTGGTGCTAAAAGGCAAGAGTAAAGATTTGCTTCTCTATATTTTGCAAACTTCTATCATGAAAATGTATAATTTTCACAATTAGGAAAAAACAACCCAACCATATAGAGATACTTGAGAGATGGCCAAAAGATGGCCATGAGAATCAATTGCTCGACACCCTAACACTTACGATTGCTGAAGAACTACCTGTTGAACTATTCAATATTTTGTGAGATACTAGTATACACGCAGGTTAGATTTATACCCAGAGTAGAGCCTGATCCACAGAGGAAGAGAACTATAATCTTGCATATCTTATATTTAAATCATGCTGACGACTATAGTTATGATGCTGAAGATGGCTCTCTCATTCTTCACGCCAGCTGTTTAAATTTTGACTCTTAACAGCAGGAAGAAAAGCTGATCTAATGGTGAAATAAACTTATACTGGAATCATGAGATGTTTACCATAAATTTATATATAAGGTTCAGAAATATTGAGGACTTATTAATCGTCTTTTGCTTGAAACTTAACCTTGGCACAGGCTTAGGATTTTGGCATGTACCCTCTGAGACACGATTCCAAATGGCAACAAAATTATGAAGTGTTTAGAAATTAACTTAACCAAGAATATCCTTCTAGACCTTTATAGTGAAAACCTTAAAGTTCTAATAAAGAACTTACAAATGAGCAGATGAAGTATTTAGGGATGAAGGAGCATGATGTCTGCAACTAACTCAAATGGGTCAAGAAAAAGAAGCACAGAAATGTGGAAAGGGAGTAATAAAGCAAATATGGCAAAATGCTAACATTGGTGAGTCTCGGTGAGGAATACACAGAAGCTCTTTGTACTAATCTGAGAACTCTTCTGCTAGTTTTAAGTCTTTTCCAAATAAAGCAAAAATTATTTTTAAAAGTTGAGGTGGGAAAAAAAAGAGAGACACACATTACATGCTCTTGGAGGAAATATGTTAATATCAAAAAAGATGTCAAGCCACTCTTAAATAATTTATAAATTCAATGTAATCCCAATTTTAAAAAAATCCTCAAAAATATAATTTTGGAAGAACCTGATAAACTTATTCCAAATGTTATATGGGAAAATAATTATATGAAACAAATCATTTATTCCAGGAGAGCTAAGTAAACTTAAATACGAAGACCAGAAACAGGGCACTTGCTGTGCTGGTCATGAGGACATATTACTAAATCACTGTAATAAAAACAGAACAATAAAAAATATGGAGCAAAAGCTGACAGATTCATGGAACAGAACAGAGCCCTAGAGACGGACCAGTATATCCATGGACACCATATGAGAAAAAGGGTACCACAATTCAATGCAGGAAAGCATGGGCTTTTTGGAGATATTATTGGGGGCGGGGGGGAGGAAAGGCTCATTAAATAACAGTAGAGGCTGGATCACTAACACCACATGCAAGGTGGGCTCTAGATGAATTGAAGATATAGCTGTGACCTAGGGGTTGGGAGGGGCTTCTTACACAAAAGTCGACAAGCATAAAACAGTCAAAGAATGTATTTATATGATTACATCAAAATTAAGAAATTTTTCTTGATCAAAGGATAACAAAGGCAACATTAATAGGTGACCAATGAGAAGATATCTGCAAAGTCTATATGTGACAGAGTGATTATCTATATTATAAAATCACTTCTACAAGTCAAAGGCAACAACACAGATAGCAACGCCAATAGAAAATGAGCGAAGATATAAGCAGCGGCTGTATCTGTATGCATGAGATCCTTAAAATCATTAGTAAAGAAAAAAATACAACTCAAAAGGACAAGATCGCACTTTGCACCTATGAGATGAGAAAAGGGAAAGGCTGCATAAAGCTGAGTGCTGGTGGGACATAACGATAAGGAGCCTTCGAACTCTTCTGGCGGGAGAAAGAGAAAGACGGGTTGTGGAGAGGAATCTGGCACTGTTTCCTCAAATTCTGTACATGCAAACCTATAATCCAGCAATTCCCTTCTAAGTATAAGTATACATCCCCCAGATAAATTATACGGCGTTATAAGGATGCTCATTGCAGCAACATTTTTGGTGTTAGAGAGTAGGGACATCCTGAGTGTCTATCACAAAGGGAGCATTTAAGTAAAGTTATTGTGTGCACGCAGCATGGAGCATTCAGAAACAAAGTATTAGACGTACGCATAGAAACATGGATGGATCTTATAAACAGTCTTAGAAAAAAAAGCAAAATAAAACAGAGCATTAGAAAGATACACATTTAGAAAACAAACATCCCCACTTTGCAAGATCCTATACAGACATAAAACAAACAAACAAAAAAAACCCACATTAAATTCATTAGGATAAGTACCTATGAAGCACAAGGTGAATGGGAAGAGGTTAAGGTGAATTAAAAACAAAAGAAATCTTTTGGACTCCTTGCATGCTAAAAAACAATTCAAATGACCTATGATAAATAGAAAATTAGAATTGTTTCCTTCCCCAAAGTTTCCAACTTTCCCAACAACAAAAGCTACTCTGGTTGCCAGCTCTGTTGATGAGTAACAGCTTTTCATCCTTTTTCAAGCAGGAAGGGAAAATTCAGGGATCAGCAGGGTACTAAAGGGATCAGCAGAGAATATTCACGAAAGAGTGTTTTTTGTTCTCATGACCTGACAGCCTGACTGGAAAGACCTGATTACCTCTGATTTGCGGTGATTCAGCGACAGGTGTGTCAGCAGCGCCACGTTTTCAGGTCATTTGAAGCGCTCTAATTTTAGAACCTGTTCGCATACAATCCTCTGGCTCCCCGTGGAAAGGTGCCATACTACTAAGAATCACAAAAATGGAGTATGGTTTAGGGTCACACAGCTAGTATGAAAGGGTAGTCCCTTGACCCCCTTCTGTCTATTCTTGCCCAGCAGCTGGAGTGATCCTGTTAAAACGTAAGTCATCATGAGTGCCTTTGTCCCAAGCCCTTTAATGGCTTGCTTCCCCCTCCCTCAGAGTAAAAGCCAAAGTCCTTCAATGACGTGCCCCTTCCCACTCCCACCGCCTCTCCTCTGCTGCCACTCACCCCTCACCCACATTGACACGGCCTGGCCTCCATAACCTCACAGTCTCTCACACATGCCAAGCACCCGCCTGCATCCGGAGCTTGGAACTTGCTCATCTCTCTGCCCCCTGCTCTCTCCCCCGTTTACTTTCAGGTCATAGATCAAAAATGATCTTAGTAGAGGCCTTCTCTACCCTCTTTGTATAAAAAGAACCCCCCCCCCACACACACACACACCCTTTGGCACTTAGACCTCTTTCTTTCAAGTTCACTGTAAACTTGTGATTATGCGGCCTTCTATCTGTTCACATAGCTGTTTACAGTCTGCTCCACTCCACTAGAATGTCTGTTGCAGGAGGGCAGGGCTTTGTCTGTTTCATTCACAGCCGTATCCCTAGCACCTGGAACACTGCCTGGCACATACAGGTGCTCAGTGACTATTTGGTGAATGAAAGAACAAACCAGGAGCAAAACCCATGCCTTCGAACTTCCCAGCACAATGCCCTGTATGCTCCACTGTGCTGCCTGGGTTGTTAATCATATCCTTCATGTTAGAAACCCTACAAATCTAAACATGAAATAATACACTTTCAATATTACACTTTCTATGTCCATTTCACCTCCTCCGATGGCTGGCTTTTATAGCAGCGAGGATAAAGCATACAGGCAAAAGTTAAGGCCTTGGTTTATTTACTGGCTCTTTCATAGACTGTTGTATAATCTGATTTTATGGCTGCAACTTTAGACCTTTTTGCCTTTCCAGGGGAGAGTTAATGATCTCATAATTAACTGCTAACGAACAAGACTAAGTTATCCAATCTTGAATATTAGTCTATTCAAATGTTTTCTTGAGCTAAGAATAATAAAGAAATATTTAATATTAATTGATGTGAAACTTTGTGTAAGTATTCTGAGTGAATTTTATGGATGATTTAGCTGAAGACCAAGCACACTTGAAAATTTCAGAGCAGACAATGCTATGTTGTCAGTAATTAATTGACTTCAGGAAATGACAGAATAATAAACCTAAAAAATAATTCAAGCCTTATACTTGGCAATAGGCATGCAAGCCTCCATTTGCATTCTGTTTTAATTGTGTTTATCATTTTTTAAAAGTCTCCATAAAAATTCAACACGGTAGTATCTGTAATTTTAAAAATCGCTTTTTGATTATTTTAGCCCCAAACTGATAAAGTGACTGGGAAGGTTGAGAGTAATAAGGGCTTTGAAGGTTCACTACGCATCCTGCAGAAAGGATGTCCCTCTGAGGCAGAAATAAATAACTCTTATTGGCACAGGGAAGGTAAAAACCTAAACACCGTCTACCTGAACCAGAGCCTCATGGTGTCTTGCACTCTGTCCTAAAAATGAATCACCACCATTAGTTTTAGGACATCTTAAGTGGTGACTCAAGATTTATGACTTCCATCCTTTGAGTGGAGAAAATGTAATGTAACTCAGCCAGTGCTTGAAGGGGCTATGAATATTGATTGCCACGTGGGTGAAAGGCATGCGACAAGGGTCTCTGCAGGTAAGAGGGGAACTCAGAAGAAAGGAGCCAGAAAGAAGAAACAGGGGGCAGGGAAGGCTCCGCTTTGGGGCTGCAAGACAAAATAAGTAACGTGTACATAGTTGGGCAGATTGTCTATAAAGATTATGGTTATATCTCGGCTGAAAATACACAGAATATGAACACTGCTGAAAAGGCATCTTATCACATTTTCTGAGGCAGAATGTTCTCATCCTATTGCAGAAGATATCTGCGCCCCGCACAGGCCCCACTCTCAGGTCAGACTTTAGCTGTTCTCTGCCATACACAAGGCGCTCCATTCTCGCCTCTGAGTTTAAGTGAATTTAACATGGAAGGATCTGTCACTGGAAAAATCACTTTTCACTTATGTTAGCCCAACACTGATAAAGTAACTGGGAGGGCTGAGAAAAAAATAATGAACTTGAAGATTCGCTAGGCATCATGCAGAATTTTAAACCTGTTTTCTTGAAACGTTTTGTTGTCACAATGAGGGACACGTTTCAGATTTAATATGTAAAATCAGGGAACTTTAGAGATGGAAGGGGGGGGCTTAGAGATCCTTTAATAATTTAGAGAAAAATGGGTACTAGGAGATTAACTTGCCCACCACATGGAGTCTATTCATGTTGAGAGTAATCAGTACGGCACTAACTCGGAGAAATCATGCCTGCATGCTGACAGGTACTTCGGTCGTACAAAATACAGCTATGGAATCATCAGTCCTACTCTCCCCCTGTAACTCAGCTACGCTAACAGTTGAAGCTTGATTATGCTCAAACTCTAAATAGTAGTGCTGCCAATGGCCTGCCATGTACAATCATGAAAAGTTTCCATACACAATGCCCTTCTTACTGTAAAACACACCGAAAAGCAAGGTACCCACATTACAGATTAATGTGTCCTACATTATTACATAGATGAGACAATCAAGGATCACGAGATTGCTTTTCAAGTGGAGGGGGTCTCTCTCGCATTTAAAATTTAACCCTGTACCCCAAGCATTCTCCACAGCGCCTAACGTGCCGCAGACCTAGCCTGTTCGCAACCCCAATATTTTTTCATTCAACTGCCAGCATCGTCCCCCTTTGCAGGGCTTATGTGCTTTGGGAGACTGTTGCCTGGTGGACATCAGTACCTGTGGCAGGCACGCAGGTGTCTGCTGGTAACTGCACCCCCCCCCCCCCACCCCACACACACACCCCATGATCAACTAGCACCTCTAGCCCAGCAGGTCTCACTCTTGCTTTAGAAATCAGCCCTCCCAGCCTCCCTGACCCAGATTCATTCACTCCTATGGACTGGGTGTGACTCCGGGCTGCAGAAGAAGGTCTCCATCTGTAAACCAAGGAGGCTGGGCGAAGGCTGGATTCTTTTCCAGCTTTCAAATTCCGCCCCATCGCCGGAGGGGCCGGGCGGTGCGGGGCCAGGAGCGCGGGGCTTGCCAGGCACCGTGTAGGAAGCCCACGTCCGCATTCCCCCTGACTGCAGGCCACCAGCCCTTCCGCTCCCGGGATTCGCAGGCCCGCCCGCCGTGGCCGGAGGGGGCGTGAGGTGGG